CGTGGTGGATATGGGATTAGATCTAGGGTCTCCACAACAACAAAACAGCACTCAACTTGGTTACCAACCAGTTGGCATATAGTTGGGATAAGGGTTGGACGATGATGATTTTTTTTATAATAAAAGAAAAAAGAATTCATTAGAAAAAATAAAAATAGAATACAAAGGAAGGTGACCAGCAGTCACCCGAGAAAAAAATAAGCAATCTTCACCTCCAACAACCAGCCCCAACCCCTTTAAACATAGAAAAACAAACAGAACTACCCCCCCCCCCCCCGAACTGAACATGACACGACCAAAGCCCTACAACAACACCAAAAAAAATGAGCCAACACTTCAAACTCTGAAAAAATAAATAAAAAGGTACTTGTTTACTTCTTCCCACAGGCTTTACTTGATTTTTTTCGCCTTTGTAGGCAGCCCAATTCCAAACAAACCCCCTTTTAACCTTGCAAACACTTTTGAAAACTGGACTGTACTAAGGAATATCTGATTGTTGAAATGTCTTACAGCTAGGTTCTTCACACCCCTCTGGCCCTTTTGATCACTATTGACTCTTACCAGCTCCAAAACCGCATTCCTCTCAAAAAACTGAATTGAAACCACCTCTTTCTCTCCGTTACAACCAACCCCACCTTTGAGAAAACTTGACTTCTTTTGGTCACAATCTAACCTTGAGTTGACAACCGTCTCTACGGAACCCAAACTCAAATCTCCAACATTTACGATAGGCATCGGATATCTTTCTTCCAAATTTTTGAACATTTTTTCTAGCATAATCCTCCCCTCCAATAATAGGTCAACCCAAAGCCTTACCTCCACCTCTACCTTTGCCACCTTTTCCAAATCAAGTATTCCCTCAACTAAATAAATCTCATCTAAGATTACTTCCTCAGCATCTGAAACATCCTTTTCAGTATTAACATCTTCAAGCTCAATAACATCCTGTGAAGGCTTGCTTCTATATTTGTTTCATCTGTAGGCTTTAATGTTCACATTCTCTTCAATGTTTCCATCACCATGATCCAGCCCTCCTTCAAGACCAACACCTTCCATTAATCCCGCATCCCCTTGTCTCACTGCATCCATATTTGAACAAAAGTGAAGCTTCAAACTCCCTTAAACTCTCATAGCCCTTCAATTCAACCCCCTCAAGCCTCCCATTTTTCTACAGCCAACAAAACTATCTAGAGAATTCAAAACCCCTTCCCTTCCCTTCAACCCCAACGAAACACCATCTTTCGCAAACTCAGAAAAATCATTCTTCCTATCAGAATTACCTTGAGTATTCCTCTCCAGCCTCTCATCATTTGCTTCCCCATCATTTTCAACCCCAGTTATTGGACAATCAAATCTCCCACCATCAAGCCTTCTATCTTCCACTTCAAGATTATGGGAACCCAAATCGAACAAATCACACTCTTCTGAGAGTTTCACCACATCATTGCCAACTCTGGAAGAGGAAATAACACAATCAACCTCAACAGAGTTGCCACAGTTGCTACCCATCTCACCTTCATCTACCAGTGAAGACTCCTCTTCAAAATCAGAGACCTTTACTTCCTCAGTTCCAAGCATCAACATCAAAAAGACAAAAACCACTTTCACCAACACCGACATGAACTGACAGTCCCTCCATATTAGACCTTGTTGTGCCCCAAATCCACTTTTCCAGAAAAGCCTCAGCTACATGCTGCAGCGAATGAGCTGAAGGGTTGAACATCCTTGCACTGGGATCAGAACCGAAGAAATCACGCCATTCCCAAACTTTCTAAAACCAAGACCAACACTCCCCTGTTTCTACTATTATGAATCGATTTCGAAACCTTCCCCTTTAAGTATATTGTAAATATTAATTACAATAAATTTTACATTCTTCTTTCTGGATCTAGAACTTGTTACTTTGAAGATAAGCTGTCACTACTTTTCAACCCAATACATAAACACTTGACTAGTCAAGCTGGAAATCAAATCGATGTTTGTGGTACGGTTCCATATAGGGAAAACCTCCAGAACCATGATGAGATTATAATCCTATTTAACCCAAATAACAGCTCTGATGGAGACACAATCCTGATAACACATGTAGAAGGAAGTTTATTAGTAAGGAAAGTTGCAGTGTGCAAGAGAAAAGAAGATAAAGCCTAGCACTTTTGACAGTAATAGATAGGAACTTGTCACTTTTAGGTTAGTGCTTGTGCTGTTTTCCTTGAGAAGAGCAGTGCTTTCGGCATTCAGTATTTAGAAGCTAGTACAGCATTCTTCCAAATGGTCCAAACCTAGAACCAATAAACCTGAAGTACCCTTTGAAAGAAATTAGCCATTTACACTTCTTTTATGAGCATTTAATGCCCTTTTGAAAGTAATTAAAGCCATTTACACTGGTGCCGCCTGAAGAGAGTTTGACTTCTAACACTTCTCTTCTCCTCTTTCTCTCTCTCTCCTTTCTCTCTTTTCATTATTTTTTATTGTTTCCTCGCTGATAACATGGTATCAGAGTGCAACTTCTGGGCCTGAGAACAGATCACTCATCTTCTTCTTCCTCTCCTTGTTGTCTTCTACAGACTGGGTTCAAGAAAGTGATCTATGACTGATCTAGGAGTTTTTTTTTCTTCCTCTTGGTCGTGTACCATGAAAATTTTTAAAACTAAGTGGTCGAATGCTGTGAGAAGTTTCAGTTTTTCACTTGTCTATGGCCCATGGTGTTTCAGAATTACTTTGCGTTAGGTCCTTGCTGAATGAGATTGGGGTAGATGCAGAGGAGCCCATTATGTTATACTGTGATAACCAAGCTGCAATCAATATTGCCAACAATCCAGTTCAGCATGACAGGACAAAGCACATTGAGGTTGATAGACACTTCATAAGTGAAAGGGTGACAACTTGAGAAGTCTACATGCCTTAATGTCTCCTCTGAGTTACAATTAGTTGATGTCTTCACCAAAGGGATTGCAAAGAACAAGCTTGAACATGACCTACGCAAGTTGGGAATGTGTAACATTTACTCACAACTTGAGGGGGAGTGTTGAGGATTTTGTGCAGATTAGTTAGTTGTTTTTGTTTATTATTTGTTTAGATAGTAAGTGGAGACCATGGCAATCTTATTGGGACCCTTTGGAGTGATGTCTTTAAGTTTTTTATGCAGTTTTATGTGTTAGCCGCCCTATAAGGGCATATTAGTTATTGTACTTATTTTTTACTTAAAGTATAAATACCAATGGGACAGGGCGGACAGATCTGATTTGCTCTCTCTTTCTTTCTCTACTTCTTCTCTTCCCGTTCTCTTCTTCCACAAGAAACTCTTCTTTTCTTTGCGAATTTTTGATTCAGCAGATTTCTACTCCTTCCCTGTTTCTCCTCAAGGGAGAGTAGGGTTGAGGAGACTCACATTCAGGTTCAGCTTCCTCCTCTTCCCAATCCTCCTCTATTCCATGTGTTCCTCCACCGCCATAAGGGCTAGTAAAGTTCAAGAGCCGTGGAATAACCTAAAGCTATATTACCAACACCATTAGCTTCTCTAGAGGCAAATCCTTCTCAGTCAGATACTCTTGTTCCTATTCCTATTGATATGTCTGATCCTTCTACTATTAATGATCTAGATATTCCCATTGCTAAGAGAAAGGGTGTTAGACCTTATACTAATCATCCTATCTCTCATTTTGTCTCCTATGATCATGTCTCACCTTCATTCGATGCCTTTGTTACCTCTATTGACAATACCCCTATTCCTAAGAATGTGGCAAAAGATTTATCTATACTTGAATGGACAGATGCAATGAAGGAAGAACTTAATGCCTTACACAACAATGGCACTTGCGAGTTAGTAGATCTTCCTGAAGGAAAAGAACCAGTGGGATGTTAATGGGTGTTCATAGTAAAGCATAAGGTTGATGGTACAATTGAGAGATGATGATTGCAAAAAGGAATGTAGGACAAAGGTAAGTACAAGCAGAAACCATACACTGCCCAGAATACTACTGCAAGGATGAGCATCATAAAGTTTGCAATGGTGTGGATTTGATGAATGTTATTGTATGAAGATGTTTCATAGAAGATCCTCTCAGATATTTCAGGGAGGAGG